CCCCAAAACCCCAAAACCCCAAAACCCCAAAACCCCGGCCTACCACAAGAGTGTTGAAATCTAGGATATTAAGGAGTTTACCCAAACCATCTAGAGAGCAGGTTTAATGCGAAGAGAAGGCTCAGTGTGTTGGTAGCTGATAGAGGGATAAATTTTAGGGTCTAGAAGGATTATGAGATACTTGGGGAATGCTAGGAGTGGTCCATCTAGCCTTTCTGGTCAGAGAAGGAAATAGAGAATGATTTTTCTATCATTTTTCTGAGAATAAAAATTGAAAATATTAGGCCTACCAACAATATTCTCCTCAGCCCAAAGTTATAAGACAAGAGAGATTAGCCCAGACTGTTTGGTCATATTGGGAAGGGAATTATAATCATAGGAAAGATAGTCACTATTGGGCTTTGAAACAAATGCGCTATCTTAAAAGTTTGGTAGATGTCAATAATTTAGTAATAATATTAGCCATACTTATTAATACAGCTTTGGATAGAAAAATTAATTGTACTCTATCGATAGCAGATGAAATATTAGACTTGTTCGCAGAAAATAGCATTGTCAAGTAGAAAATAATTCACAATATTTGAAGGAACCTAACAATTGATAAATATTGATACTGCTTACAGGAGGTTAACTATGCTTATCTGAGGTAAGAACGGCCAGATACCATTGCGTGATTAATATATAATTGAGATCTGAGTATATTTAAGGAAGGGAAATTTAACAATAAAGTTACTCTAAATTGTTCTGGCTCTATTAATTCTCACAGTCTTACACTTTTTACTTTCTCCAGATCCCCTAATATTTCTGAATTACTTAGACTATTGCCAATCCTTGGTTGTAGAAATTTAATCCCTCTTAGTACCCATTTTTAAAGTTAAACACAAGTTTCAAAATTTGAGGAATTTAGTAAAAACTTTGATTTTAACCAAGAAAATTATGAACGTTCTTATTTAATCATAGCGATCGAAGATGCTATAAACATTTTCAAGGACTACGAATCTAGACGTTTTGGAGTTACTGCTTTCTTCATTTTCATTCTATATTTCTATCACATTCAAATCTCACCTTGGGACTGAGAGCAACTCTACTTTCTCTGAAACTATTACAAGTTGTGCCGAAGACCTACAAAAACATCAGTATTAGGATAAATTATTCTTGGTTAAGCTCAAGATGTAGGATATTTACCTGATTATTGATGCTAATTTCAAGTTTTTTGACTTCCTTTTTACCCTTCTTGCGTACTATAAAGCAATTAGAGATGTCCTAGAGAGGATCCATAAAAATCTTTAAGCAAAAACACACATTTTAGCCTCGTGTTTCTCAAAATCTCGCTCTTCAACATCAGATTCTTAAGGTCGGTTTTCAATACAATTGTATCTAAAAATTACAGCTTGAGCTACCTTGGTCAGGACTTAATGAGTCTTTTGTGTTAAGATCCTTAGAACAACTTTGAGTCATCCTATCAGAAGAATATTGAGTCCTATTGGGGTTCTCTAAAACTATAAAATAAGTGAATTTACTCATTTTTGACCCTAAGAAGCTATTCGACTTGCTCTTGATTGATTCAGCCTCTTGCTCTCCATACACAGTGTGTATCACCATCGGAGAGTATTTAAACTTCTTTCTAGAAGTATTCCTCTTCTTGCTCGGCTCTTTTCTGAAGGATTATATCAAAATTACTTTGTAGTCATGAAGGCTGAAGGAGATTTCTTATAAATAAATTTCCCAAATTTCTTTCTTTATAAAGTTTAGGTAAACATTACTACTATGAAGCTTCTTCAGATTTGGAGTAAAGCAAGCCTTATCCCTTGGAGTCCTTGGAGTTGGAATCTGGCTACTAGAGATCAGGGCAGTTAAGTCCTAAAAATTAACATTCAGATTTACCTTTTCACTGCTAGGTTTATTTCGATTTATTTCTAAGGTTTTCTAAATTTTAACCAAGGTTTCGTACTTTGTGTAGCTTCTTTCTTATCATATATGCCTTCTGGATTCGTTCTTCTTGTGTATATCAACTATGGCCATGTCATTCTAAACACTCATAACAATATTTTCTTACTCTTGTCCTTGGTTCTCTTGGGAGTTTTGGGACAAACTTTCATATGAGCTTTTTTACCATTTCTCTCATTTTTCCCATTGCTCATTTTTCAGAGCTTAAGCTTCATACCAGAAGCATATTCGACTAAGCTGTTGTGGAAACTAGCAGAGAGGGATAAGAGTTCTTCCCTAGAATTACTCTGTTTGTTCTGGAGTGTAGTCTCATACTTATTCTTATGTATTGTTTTCTTTTGGTAGGAAAGCATGCTCCTCTTCTCTCTCCCATTGCTTCTCATGATTTCTATAGTTTGAGCATTAGAAGTTAGATATTAGTGGGATTGCCAACGGGATCGAGAGGAGACAACTTTTTGGGGTTTCTTAGTTCCTTACTTTTGATCACTTTAGTTCGTGACGCGATTAGCCCAATCAAATCTTCCCTTGAGTTCATTTACAATTTTCTCAAAATATGATATCTAATGTTCATAAAGTTTTAAATGGGGTTTTGGGGTTTTGGGGTTTTGGGGT